TATATATATATATATATATATATATGTATTCATGGTTATGCACTGATAATTGAACAAGCTCTAGCTCCCGCTAAGTGCATAGCGAATAGTGCTGCCCACCCCAGGCGCAGTTGAATTCAATTGGAACAGTGTTGTCATAATCGATTGTCTCCATTAATTATTTTGGGCTAATGACTCAGAACAATTACCACCCAGGCGAATTACAGTTAAATTGAAAGGCCTCTAGGCGACTGATTAAGAGTTTTGTACATAATTAGCAGATATTGCATGGCTGAACAGTTTATAATTAGTTTTGAATTGAGCGAGCCACTTAAAAAGCATATTTTCTAATTACATAAACTGACGATATCAAAACTTTATATAATATGATATATCGAACAAAATAATATTAGTAGAGTAATAAATTTTAATAAATGGTATATCACTTTCGTAATATGAAGTTTCTTGGCTGCTTGCCTTTCTGATAATCGTCAAGTGGTTAGGCACAACAATCAATCAGACTAAATAATTGTAAGGGCTGTAATATACTGTTACTTACATATCATAAATTCGCTGTCAAACGTTACGTTCAATCGTACTATCAGTGTTGGCATATTAAATATGTGTTTTATGCATTCTTCAAAGACAAATTCGTGTTACTTAACGACATTTGACAGGCGCGACACCTGCTGGAAGAGAGCGAGAGAGAAAAAGCAATCATGGCCATGTAATGGAAGCTTGAGTATGTGTTGACATGGACGCAAACACAGCGAGCTTCAGATACACACACAGGTGCACACCCACGCAGACATACACCTATACAGGGACAGATTAAAGATGCGCGTGGCAGTTATAGCGAACGCTATGCCTTTACGGCCTTGAGCTAAACTGTTGTTGACAACGGCAGCCGTAGAAGGCGGTGCGGTACGGTGCGGTACGGCGCGAAACGGGACACAGACAATGATACTAGTGCACCGGAAAGCCAGACACAGACGACAACGTCGACAGAGTTGCCTAATGCAAGCACCCTCCCGCCTCGGCTCGCACCGTCCTCTCCAATTGCAGCAGTAGCATGCTAGGATGCTAGGATGTGTCTGCGTATCCTTTGCAGTCGTGCCCTATGGGTCTGTTTATGGATTTCATGTTTGTCAGGAAGGCAGCAAGCCATAAAGATTGGCTTGTAATGTCGCCCAGTTGCAAAATGCAATATTGTTGGAAGCTTTCAGCATTTACCATAGCTGCCAACTCTTTGAACGAGTAAGGTACGCCCTAAAAAAAAAAAAAAAAAAAAACTATTGAAGGACAACTGATTCGATAATTTCAACAATAAATTGAGGCTATAGCAATCGTTGAATGGAGTTCGTGAAATATAAATACATATTAGCTCTACCAGTCGAGTAACATGATAACTCAAATATTTCAGCTTACAGAGGTAAATTGTTTACACGACAGATTTTAATTAGCATCAAAGGAATTATTTATTATATATTTAGGCTACATACATAAGCCGATGAAAAGACGTATACTTTACCAGAAAAGTTTGTCGGATGCCTCTATTTGAGCAATGCAACGCGAGGCACATAAGGTCTGCTCCATTGATAGCTAAATGCAGCTTAGCACTTGAGTAAATTTCACTTTGATCCCTTGAACGTCACTGAATGTCCTTTGGGCGAATTAGCCACTCTGCCCTCCTGCCCACAATCGGTGTCTATACTTAATGCGCTTAAGTGTATGCAGCGTAAATTTTTCGCTCACAGCTTAATAACTCTGGAAACTAATGCAAATAACTGAAGGCAACTTTGAACTTTTAGACAACAGCAACAACAACAGCAAAAAGAAATAAAAGAAGAAATTTGCAAAAGTTGGCAATGCTCTCAGCTCAACCGCAAAGGCAGCTAATGCGCTTAGGGAGCAGAGCAAAGCAGGCTGTGGAGAGGGGGATACACATATATCCTATGAAGAAGGACCGGTTGTCGGTTTCAACGGACACTCGACCCAGTATCTGTTACTGCCAGAGGGCCAGCGAGTCCATTATGGGCATTATGTATAAATACGCTCTTAGCCCATTTCTTCCTGCTGGAGTGCCAGCGTATTGCAGCTAATTTGTGCATAGCTCCAGAACTTTAACTTTAATTCGATGTCGAACTCAACTGAATGTTGGCGCTTTAGCTTGAGCTTTAGTCCAACTAACGAGGCGAATAGAAAACAACGCTGTTGCCTCTAGAGAGCTTCAGTCCAAAATGAGCTAATAATGTTGTTGATTTCATTGTGGACTCTCAGTCCCAACACAATCTGAACAGAGGTCCCTGGCAGCTGTCCTTACAAATTCAGGTGCTAAGCCAAGCTCCTTTGTTCAGGTATGCATTAATCATCAGTCAGTCCATCAGTTCATCAATCGACTCAAACAACCACCCAAAGGTGTATTAACGAATCGAAATCGTTTATTATGGGCCTTAGAATGACAGTCAATCAGAGAATTAATCGATAATTTCAATCGGTTTTGCTCGCAATCTAAATAAAAATATGGTCAAGATTTTGATGCTTGTAGTCAGTCAGTCAATCAATCTATCTATCAATCTTCCGTCTATTTTGTATTATTAGACATTCAGGCAATAATAATCCATCAATCAATTCCGAAAATTTATAAGTGAATTAAGTAAAAGTACAGTCACTAAACCAAAAATCGCGATAAATCGAAAAAATTCGATCTTGAACAAATTCGATTTCGAAAATTTTGTATATATGTTTAAATTTTTTTTTTTACAATATTTTTAAGGTGTTCCATAGTAATGCTTAATGATGATATAAATCTTAAGATTTCTATTATAAAAAGATAATAAATAATACTAAAAGCACAAAGAAACGTTTAGAAAGCCTCCACGTCGCGGACTTGCCAGGTAGACTTATTTAATGTTATTTGGCAATATATGGATTGTGCTTACTGGAAACTTGACCATCCAGTGTCAAGTACTTTTACAAATTATTCGTCAAATGTATACTGTAAATGTGAAGTCTCCAGGTCTAAAAGTGCTTAAATTAGGCTGAAAAAAAAAAAAAAAATAATAAATTGGATGAATTATCGATAAAATATGATAAACTCGTATTGCGTACGGTATACACGAGTATGCATTTCAGCTTTCTAGCTTTTATAGCTTCTGAGATCACAGACGGACGGACGGATAGACGGACAGGGCTATATCGACTCAGCTCGTCGTTCTGATCAAGAATACATGTATATACTTTGTGGGGTCTGCGATGCTTCCTTCTGCCTGTTACTGATGAAATCAATCAATCAATCAATCAGTGTGGCGGCCAATCGCGATAAATATATAATATATAAACGATGGTTCCTCTATTGTAGTATGTGCAGTATTTCAACTAGCTAGGGCTTATAAGAGGTGAATCACTTAATCAATAAATCAAAAGTAGAATCCAAATAACTGATGCTATTAATAATATATATTTATATTTATCAAAATTTTACTATTCTTTATTGATATTCATTCCATTAATCTTTCATTTTACTAACGTATTGAATCAACCAAGAGCAAGCTAATATCAATCTCTGTCGCCTACAATCTCTGTCGCCTACAACAAATACTATGCTAAAGGCATGTCAATCAATCAATCAGAGTGAAGTCTTAATCCAATCGACTTTTATTCAATATTCGAAATATAGTAAAGTTTCTCGTCGTTTCAGTGAGAAAAACCATTGTTAAATTGTTATCAGAGTTGGGTTGACTTAACTTGGGTTGATTTAATAGCTCTGAATATTGACTTAACCATTGTTTTCACAGCAGTTGCTGGTTGCCGCAGGACCCTTAGCTTCGCCTAATTGCGGGCCATTAAAAATTTATTGAAATAAATAGCACGCATACGCCCCGTGGTCGGCTCCGCATAGCCTGATAAAATTTGAGCTGCGGGCAAAATGGATGACGGGAAATTACTTTTAATTCTTTTAGCGTTAACGGCAACTCATCAAGTTGAGCATTTAAATTTCATTTATGCTCGTTATATTTGCATATTCGACAAATTCGACTGCAATCATTTTGAGTGCTTTCTTCAGCACATGCTAAGAGAAAGTCCTTAAGGTGCCGACGGGCGTCCTGCACCCACAAAACACAAACAACAGGAATCCAATTCAATTAAACGAAGTATCAAGAGCCAACCCTCTAGTTATGAAATATATTTGCGTATATCTAGTGAAACTTCCAGATGTTAACGAAGAGTCGCTTCCTCTTGCCCTGTCATCTATAGCTTACAAAAATATATGAGGAGAAAACTGAAAGTATGAAATATAATAAAAAGTGAGCAAAATATTGTAGCCAGAGCTGGGTGTCGTTATTGTTCCGTGTACTGTGTGCGAGGTCTTTTAGTTTTCAGCTTTCGGTTTTCATTTCAGTTTGCTGTTGCTCCAGGCACTCGTAAAATCGAGTGTGTGTAGCTTATAAATATACATGAACATATCTGGGTGAAATACCTGTGCAGCACATGTGCAACACCTGCGCAACAACTGTGGTGTTTGTTAATTGTAGCCCGCGGCCCTTTACGTGCAACTGCTCTAATTGCAATGGTTGCCAGCAAATATTTATGCGATTTTAATGATGAATCGGACAACATTAAAAATATCACTGAGCAAATCGCTGCCAGGTGTAACCAGCCAAATGATGGCCATTCATGCTCTTGGAACAAGTGAATTGATTGCGTAATTCATGTTTTCCAAGCCAATGGATGCACCTCATCTCATCTTTGCACTCCAGAAGGCGAGAGTGCTCAGCGATATATGTGGGAGATTCAATTCGTGTTTCTTAACTTTACAGCTCTATTATCACACTCAAAACGATTCCTTCAACTACATAGAATATTATTGGTTATATTGGCTTTTGGATTTGGCGTAGGGTTTTGACTCCGATATTCATGCCATTGTTATGCATCTACTCTAATCTAAAACTCTTCTACAAGGTTCATTAAGTATACATCTATGGTAAATATTAGGCTTGCATAGTTAAGTTCCGGTTACACATATTAATGAGCCATTTCTGCGTAATAAATGCTGTACAAATGGGTAGGTAACTAATTTCTGTCTGATTTCCTACGACAATTTACCCCGCACTAGACGATTTCCACCTGATTAGGATCCGGCACACAATTAATAAGTAATTATATTTTTCTGCTAGGCAAAAGCTTAGGTTTAGCATAATTAATTAATTATCCTGTTATGGAAATCTGTGTGTGTGTGCGTGTGTGTGTGTGTGTGTGTAATCGTGTATGTGTATGTATGTAAATGTTTATGGCTGACATGATTGACTAGCCAACTGACTTAATCACTAACCGACTGACTAATTATGCCAACCCATAAAATGAGTAGAAGTCGGTGTCAGCGCGTACAAGTCGATTGCTAGGATTGCCACAGTTCGCAAAGTTGTTGTTCAGAAAAAAGGGCAAAGGCAACAAAAAAGCAAAAGAGAAATGTTGATAAAATATTGGTTGTAGTTATTGTTTTGCTGTTGACTACATTAAGTATGCATTAGGTGAGGGCATTGTAAGCAATTGGCTGCGGCTCAATTTGTATGCAAGCAGGCATAATATCAGACATCTATATCACAAATTATACACTGAGCGAAGGGCCATATTATTTTTTATAGTATCTTGAATACGAACAGAATTTGAATTCCAGAGATGATAGAGTATTTATCGTACATTAATTAAAAGATTTATCATAGGGTTTTTCATTGCACACACTATTTGTTATAGTATCCTTAATACGCCGAACAATTCCATTCGTCCTGTTCTAAAATATCTATGGTATTTTAAATGTATATCGTATTTTGTTTAAAAATATATTTGGTACCCTTTCGCATAATTATGAAAATAATAATTATTATTAGTTGAGAGTAAAGACATACTTCAGCAAATATAATTTGATTCTCACTCTGAGTGTGCAAGGTTTGTTTGTATGTCAGTGTGTAAGTGCGTACATTGTCTGGTAAGTTTTGCCTCCTTATAAATTAGTCAAACAGTTGCTTTGGTTACAGGTTGTTAAACCTCTAATATGGTGTGGCAGGCTCGGGGAATCATAAGTTGAGTATGGACAGGGATAAAAGGTTTCCTTTCAGTTACATCCCTCTGGCCAGCTTCTAATTTGCTTCAGTTTTAGTAGTCGCAAATATTTTCGGGTCTCTAATTTGCAGCACGTGGCATCGCACAGTGGTTGCGCCCATAGGCCAAAAGTCAAAAAATCCATCGCAACCAATTTTTACAAAACCCACACAAATTGACTCGTAAATGTCCAAACTTCTTAATGACAAACCGGGTTTTTCTAGATTTTCACTGGTACTTTCTAAAAACAGCATTGAAATGCCGAAAACGTGTCCATTTTCGCTCAGCTGATGCGCTCAGTAGGCTTTTTTTCACTTTAGCGTTGCCTTTCAAAGTGGTCAGACGTTATCTTAAGTGGTCCAGATTAATTTTTTTAGTATGGATGTTGAAGTACAAGGTATTTACTCTAATTTCCAATTAAAATTACTAGTCAACTAATCAAATTGTTATTGTGAAATTAATTTGTTTGA